AGAAAAGGAATGAAAATATCAGCTGATCCTTATCCTAATTTCCTTTCTTTTTAGCCCCTGAACTTTGAAAACTTTTGCTATTACATTCATTAATGATATTTCTTCACAATTAGGTCCCTAACTCACTTTAATGCTCTAGAAATTTTGGGGTATTACAATATTTGATCTTGTTATTTGGAGACTATTAACATTTGTTAATGAAATTTAAAGTTACAAGGCTACATTAAAACTTTATAGGAGACTGTACTGATATGTAGATATATGGCCTTACACATTTAGGGGTTATCCTATTGATGTGTGGCATATGTTATGCCTAAACTTATAGGTTGGGGCGTGACCAATTTTGTGGTATCAAAGCTTAGATTTAGATGACTAGGGCCAAATTAAGGATCTTAAGTTAGACCAGCGATGAGCAAGAGTGGGGTAGATATTAGAAGGGACATATTTGCATACTTTATCTATATAAATATATTTTATGTATACAAATGCTTTTAGCATGATGGTTGATTATTACTTAGAGGATTAATTTTCTCCTTTCTATTTTGATAGTAGCCCACAAAAATGCTTCCTAAAAGAAACACCGGCTCTATAGCTAGTCAAGGAATTGGCCTCCAATGAGGGAGACCACCCTAGGCTAGGCAAGTTGGGTTAGGTAAAGGCATAACGACTAGTATACAAAGTGAGCCAATGAATTTGAATGTGGGAGGAGGTGGTGATCGAAATGAGTCACAGCATTCATCTATTGGAAATCATGATTGGCAGAGGATTAATGACAATGGAAGACAAATGGGACAACAGGACCAACCTACTGTTAGAGAGTTGATGCAAGCATTTGTAGATGCAATGTCAAGGTCGAAATGTCGATTGATAGACTTTGTTAAATTAACAAAACCTTTTGATGGTTCCTCCACTGCTCCAGTTGTAGCTGAGGATTGGATTGATGATATTGAGAAAGCTTTTAGAGGGAAAGGTGTATTAGAGGAGTAGAAGGTACCATTTGCCGCTTATATGTTAAAGGGATATCCCAACAATTGGTGGAAGGCAGAGGAGCGTATTCTTACTGCTCTAATAACACTTGAGAAATTCAAAGAGTCTTTTTATAGAGATTTTATCCCTAGCAGTGTAAGGGTTGAAATGCAAAGGAAATATTTTAATTTGCAACAAGGTAATAAAACAGTGGTTGATTATGAGAAGGAGCTTTATCAACTCTCTAAATTTGTTTCACCTACTATTCAAGGGGATGAAGAAACCAAAATTCAGAAATTTACTTTTGGGCTCAACTCTAACGTTCAGCATGAAGTAATGACCTTGTGCCTGAAGACCTCTTTTGAGGTTGTTAATAAGGCTAAGTTAGTGGAGCAAGCTTTTAAACTCACTAAGACTGGGGAAGGGTCAGGTAGTGGGGTGAAGAGGCAAAGATGGCCTGAGATACAGAGTGGAAACAAATTTAGAGGCCTAGGTTCTAGACAAAATAAGAAACAGAGCACTGGATTCTCTAAAAGCCGTGTTACAAAATCATGAAGCATAAATTCTACACTATGACGAGATTTGATATTGCGTTCCATACAGATGCGATTCCATCTTGAACCCAAATAAACATTATGCTTGCTTGTATGTGTAGAAATGTGGTTCACATGAATGCTAAACCCATAACTCATCATCTTCCTCAAGAATCATCACTTTAATAGCACCCATATCTTCATAGATTCCATATTCATTGGCATATTATTTGAAGAAATGCTTAATTTTGTATCTCTTAACATTTAAAGATTACAAGAAATATATGTTCCTACTAGTATAATATATGTTTCAATACATTTTTGTAATATGAAGTTGCATTATTCTAAAACATCTAAACTTTAGAAAGATCAACTAGCACACTTTACTAATACTCTAGCAAACAACACATGTTTTTAAATTGTTTATAAAAAAAATATAACTAATATTTTAAAATTTCTACACCTTTAAACACAAGATAAAACATAATTTGACATGTTAATAAAATTATTAATTATAACGTGCCTTTCTTATTAAAATATTTAAAAATTCTCTAATTTCAATACCTTTAAAATCCAATAAAAGTGTATAATTCTATAGCTCATAAAGCCAACATGAAATGACCCGAAACTCAAACCTTTATTTGAATTGAATTCATCCCTACACTTACTCCAATTATGCCTAGGTGGTAGATACTTCTTTAGCCCTTCCACTTACTTCATCGGCTATTTCCAATGTTTTAAAAACCAGACCGGACCGGTCGGTTGAATCGATCGGACCGATACCAGGTACAATAAACGACTCGGGTTAAGGTTTAAAACCGGTGAAGCGGTTGAACCGTTCAAAACCATAAAACCATTCAAACCGGTACAAACCGTTAAACCAGATGGTTTAAATCTTTTGAAAAATTTCCCATAAGTTGTCACCTGCAGGCTTCGAACACAAGTCTTATGAAGCATTTTCCATCACCTTTGCCACTGGGGACATACCTCTTCGATTGGAAAAAATGGCTTAAAATTTTATTTATTTTATTTTTAGGAAGAAAACAATCACACTACACCTTACTCGAACTTTCTTCTCTTCTATAATTAACTTTCACATTAAAATTAATATAAT